TACAAAGTCTCCCTCTGGCTATTTAAATAAGTTGCCATCCAAATTTTAATAGAGACCAAGGATGGATACTTTTGAGTGCACACGCGCCACTTCTTGGCGTTTCATTCAGAAGATGTTGAGTTGAATGGCGACACTATGAGCACTGTATGTATACGACGGATTACCAACACAAATAATGGTAATAACACGGCAGATGAAGAGGAAGACACGGAGAGCAGCTGTTCAGAACCGAAGAGTTCCGAATGCCGTCTTTCATATCTGTGACGATGCCGCAAGCGCCTACAACTCGTGTTCGGCGGGCCGAGGCACGCAGTCAGGCTCGTGCTATCGTTACAATCATTCATTTTTTTATACAACTTAAACTGACAAATAAGCTGACTAGCCACCTGATGGAAAGTGGTAGCTGTCGCCTAAAGACATGAGCAGTACCATGGACATATCAGACTATACTGTTTCGTCTATAATACCCCTCATGCGTTGGCATTGCTGAGGACTTTGTACAAAAGTCATTTGTTTGGATACCTCTGTCCCATTTGTGTTTTTCAATAGCGAAGCAGTTGTGTTTGCATGGTAGTGTTTCGGTTTAAAGGATGGGATATGGCAGTGAATTTACAGGGTACAGGGTACCATAGTCCTTAGGAAAGGCAAGGCATAAAAAGTATCTTGAATAGCACAGTAAACTCTGTTATGGCCATGGTACTGTTCATGTCTATAAGCAACGACTACCACTGTTTATTACGTGGTCCATCAGCTTTTTGCCGTTCACAGTTGAATAAAAAACAACAATAAAAATATAGATAAAATATGTCTCTATTTTTTTTTACAAATTTACAAAATACACTGCATTAAAATTAGGTACAGATACAGAGAAAACCATAAGTGAAAGCAAATTCTTTATGGTAATTTCAATAAAGTACTTTAATATGTAGTAGCTGTAGTAAAAAAAACTCTTAGAGATCAAAACACTGGTTTTCAGCTAGAATCTGCACAATGCTTGTGTAATTACAGTGAAGACAATAACAGTAAAGCTGTGTCTTTGAAATGCATAACAAACACGCAAACTAAGCATTGCACACCTACATAGGTACATATATCTTAATATCTATATACATGTAATAAAAATGTAACTGTATTCTTTGTGATATCTATACATAGAAGATATTTAAGAAAAATGAGTCTTAATAAGACCAATAGAAGCCAAAAAAATATTTCGAATTTTTGTCTGTCAGTCTGTACTTGTATATTTGTCCTACGCAAATGCTGAAACTATACTACGTGTTTGCAATACGCTGAAACTACTGCACCAAATTGAATGTGCTTTCACAGTTGTGTTCCAAGGTCTAACTTATATTCTAATGTATGCAGGCCCGTGCTCGCGTTACAGTCGCTTATGACTAAGGGTCACAAATTTATTCCGAAACTAGTCGAGCTTTTTCGATCTAATTACATCTTAGTTAAACCAGTAGTTATTACATTAAAATATAGATTAAATAATTGTCTTAAACTGATTTTAAATTCCGCTTTGAGACATTAGGCTAACGAAAGTTATCTAAGATATCGGATGTAGAACATAGAGAATTTCTTTAATATACAAGACTAGAGGGAAAAATTGTTTGTCAAGTCAACTTCTATGTAGTTCTCCACCAAAATTATCGTAGTTAGTTCCGTGTGAATAAGATAAGATTTTTATGTGGTAATTTTTTTACTACCTCAGTGCAAGCAATATTTATGTTATTCGTCCAGTGCTGTAAGTAGGCACCATTCTTTAATTTTATGCAACCTAAAATGAAAAATAAACTAACGGCTTTCCTGATGGATTATTATCGTTTTATTTATATGGCTAATACCATGAACGCCAGAATACTCTGTGGCACCCATAGTATTCTTTGTGCATCGTAATTCCTGTGGACTAAGATGAGATTGTCAGTATAATTTATAATACAATACACCTTCATCCTCATAATTCGACTTTTGACGTTAAATCACAATTATTTGGTTTTATATCTATAATTTACAATAATATGGCCGTATGGTCCCAGCATAGAATGGACCATTCCTCCTTTTTACGTGGGTGATGTAAGCGGCGACTTATTGTGATGTTTAACAGCGTCTCCCTTAAAATATCACCAAAGCCTTACTGTGGTTGCCAACTCGCTTGTCAAGCATGGCAACAACTGGCAAACACCAGTGGCATAGGCAGTCTATGTGGGAGGCCTATGTTCACTAGTGGAGAGTTTATGGCTGATATGATTCTTAGTTAGTGATTGACTAAGGATAGAAAGCATAAAGCTAAAGGTTTATCTGAAAGTTAATTGTAACTGTACGCATTACGCCAATTAAGGAATGCTATGGTCAAACGATATAATCTGCTATAGGTACTCATGATTATTCAAATCTATTAACATGTTTCACCAGGGGATCCGTTTACTTGTTGGTATGCCTTTATCAACATTAGATACATACATAATAAGTAGATATGCGTTGCATAATACTCGTAAGTACCGACAACAGAGACTACCTATATATTTTACTACCGTGAGTAAGTAAAATATATAGTCTTTGCCGACATTAATGTTTGAGAATCATTATGGCAGTGCCGGTAGAATAACGGTTGGTAGAACGATGGGAAAAAGTATTACAACCTACAATATAATAATGCGAGATTTATAGATGACTAGTCATTGTTGGCTTTATCATAATAATACGTATATTAATTGGCTTTATTTTTATTATAATAAGTCTAATACGACATCTCGTCATAGTCGTAGAATACTGAAGGATCTATATATGTAATATTTGTCAGATCCGTCAGTATTCTACGACTATGACGATCTGTTTGTAGAGAAGGAATGCAACGTTATAAATGCAATTTATGTATAGTAAATCCATAGAAAGAAATTAATCTAGTGTATTTCTTTTTAAAAAAATTCTCTTGTTTATTAAAATGTATTAAGTACGTATTTAGTAACGTTTTAGAAAACTGCAAAGTAGCCAACATATTTTTTTTAATGGACATCTAAATAAGATTAGTTTTACAAACAATGAGTTAAATATGAATGACTGATTTGCTTACATTATTAACATCTATTACGTGTAGATGTATCTACAATTAGATCAGGTATAGCTATGTGTTTCAAGCGATGTTGGTGATAGCCTATAAACGCTATAATGCAATTGGAGAATTTACTGAGTATTTTAGTTGCAACATTTGCAATTATTCAATACACTAGATAATTTTGACATAATACATACATCATGTTGAAATTATATTTAAATTAATATTATAAAGTGGAAAAAATTTATTTTATTCGTTATATTTAACTCAAAAACTACTCGACCGATTTTAAAAATTCTTTAACCATTACAGATTCGCCGAGTAACATAGGATATATATACATACATTTCCAAAAAAATTAGAGACTAGAAATTGGAACAATGTAACCCAAAGTATTAAAATGTTGTCTATATAAGTCATTATTTTACGTGCGCTGCAAAAACTATTAACGATATATAAAATAGTGTTCTATATATAAGTAGTACTCACGTAGTATTATATTAAATTAAAGTATTTAGATCAGAAACTTTATTCATTATTTTTACTAGTAACCCGCCTAGGCTTCGCATGGGTGTATCAATTAAGTATAAATGCTTCTTACGGAATTACACCGGTGCAAAGCTGAGGCGGGTTGCTAGTATAGCAAATAGATATGGGATAGGAAGGTGTTGTTTAGTATAAAAATCAATAATGCAGTTTGAATGGAAATTAAAAATTATATAATAACTAACTGACTAGACAAATATTGTTTTGCCCCTTATCACGTTTATTTTTCTTATCGGGATAAAACTATCTTATCTCTCAAGTTGAAGCAAATATTAGATATATATTTACAAAATTTCATTAAAATTAGCGTGAAGATCATAACAAGGGATTTCATATATTAAAACTAGCTTTTATTTGCAACTTCTTTTATGTGACGGCGATAAATAATTGTCTATGTTCGCCGGTTGAGTCGTTAAGGCGACAAGAGCAATCAAATAAACCCACTATCATATAATACAAGTAAGGATTTATATTGAGTATTTATACAATTGTATCGAAAACAATGCTTTTATCTTACTAATATAATAAAATTGTAACAAGACGACGTCTGTACATGAGATATTTAGGAAGAATTAATATGAGGGGTTAATAAGAGCAATAAAAACTAAGCGATTGTTTTCAATGGTTTTCCTTCTTCTGAAATCCAGGCACACGAGTTAGTGGGTAATTTTTTTTGTATACATTAAGGAGACAAGAAGATATTTTTTATTTATGCAACTTAGAATGGCAACAATTTGACAGCCGACCTAATGGAAAGTGGTAACCGTCGCCTATAGATATAAGCAGTACCATGGACTTAACAGAGTATACTGTTTCGCTCAAGATACCCCACATGTGTTGCCACTCCTGAGGACTCAGGTGTTATTCCTCTGTACCCAGTAAATTGACTGCCATATCCCACATATATAGAAATGTATATATGTACATTACTAATATTATATAATTATTTACACGATCATGCATTTCTAGCAAATAAACCATTTCATGTAACATAATATTGTAACGATTTTGAACATTTGATTTGTTGCTTGTAATGGTAAAACTATAAAAATGTCTATTTAAGCGATTTTTTTAACTATAGAAATAGTAAATTACATTTTCGTCGTATTTATATCAACTGTACGTACAGAACTGTCAAAGTAAATTATTCAGTTTGTATTACATATGTAAAAATTGTATAGCATGATGACAGTCATAGAAAGCACCATGATAGGTATGTACCTATCACGGCGTCACAGTGTGTGAGAAGTACATATTCTTCATGCCATAAATATGAAGTTTTAGTTACCTTCGTATGGAGTAATTTTAGTTACTCTAATTTTCATCGAATATAATAGTCGAGGTTACTCCAATATAAAAGACTTTGTACAAAATTTCTAGTGAAAATGAAACAAATTCATTATTTTTGTATAATTTATTCTACATATTGGTATAATAATCAGTTCAAAACAGTGCCGCAAGCACATCAAAATTTTGACTACATATTATATAATGCTAGCATCAGTTAGATCTTTTAATATGCAGGTACCTAACACATTGCAGTTTATAAAAACCTGAGCACATAAATAGTCAACACATAGCGTATAGCTTTATGTTTGATTGGAGCAAGGTATTGATCCTTGGTTTTATTAAACATATTTATTTATTTATTTATTTATTTATTTGAAAATTTCTCACTACACTTACAGTTTCCCAAAACGTGTAGTGAGCCAAAGTTTTATTTCACAAACTTACAAATTTTGTACAACATTTTAAAAATATACTTCTTTTGTAATTAAATATGTCAATATCTGGCTGCTGAGCAATCAGAGAATTGAGCAGAGAAATAGCCTGATACGTGGGAGCAAACTGAGCAGTACAGGTACGAACCGGCGGTGCCGATAGTAGTCTACAAGCACGCAATCGCATGCAGCGTTGGGGTGCGTACAAAGAACAACGGCTAAGAGTTACAGGATTGTCTATTCCGCCGTTGAGCAACTGATAATAGTGCATCATCAAATTGCACTTTCGCCTTACCTCGAGCGTGTCTAGACCTACCATACCGGATACGAACAGTGATGGGTACAAATAAGGATAGTAGCCGTAAAGTTTACTATATAGAACACGTGCAAATTTCCTCTGAACTCTTTCTATCATTATCTTGTATTTTGTTTCATGAGGGTTCCAAATAATTGATACAGATCCAATATAGATACAGACTCTACTGTCTACGATGTTTATTATCATCGCAAGCTATAGATTATACGCATAGTAATTATAAACTCATAGATATTTCCTATATTAACTTATAACAGTCCTGAGGTTTATACATAGACTTAATAGGGTCGATTCTGAGATACCAATTCTCTTAAAATTTCAATTTGATTTCACAGCAAAATCTTTATTGTAAAGACCAATATTAACTACTTATTTAATAGATTTAAATGAAAATATTATAATTTTAGTTTATAATTGTTGATAAAAAAAAAACAGTAATTTCGCAGGAATATAAAATTAAAATATTAACCTAATACATACAATTTACATATTATACAGTTATTTATACAGTTTGTTATACATACTATATAAATATATTTTCAAATATATTTATATAGTATGTATAATAAAAGGTATGTTTTCTTTTAACAGTAACTTTAGATAAGTAGTGAATGTTAGTTTTGTTTCCATTGTTACTTTCATTATTTCACTATAGTAAAATATAATTACATACATTTCCTCTAGATAAACAGAATGTAGATGTCTCATTTTTAATGCAAACGGTTGGTTCATTTTGTTTTCTACTCGCATACAAATAAGAATCATTTTACCACCACGGTAGAGCTTTAACCTTGCACGACCATTGCACGTTAGAAATGCATATAGACTAAGTACTCAGGTTTGTTTGAAGAATATGGTTAATAGGATAGAAGTGTAAAATAGGGTTTGTTTAAACGACGAAAAAACAACTCTGCGTCAATAAGTTCATAAGTAAGTCAGTTACAAATTACCACAGCCATATATTTATACAAATGCATGGCCTAATCATATACCCACGTCGATGTATATCGATTGGCCCATCAGTGTTGTACCTAGTAAGTTCTAGTAATTTTGAATGAATATATATTCCGCATACATCGGTTGTTTATGGTATGACTGGTTATAAATTTAATATAAAAATATAATAAGAGAATTTTTTATTGGCAAAAGTATTCATAATGACTCAGATGTGATTTATTAAATATTTTTAAATTTAAAACACATGTATATAGATATTGCCCATTTTACACTTCTAACAAAACTTATTCAATATTCATCATATTTCTTTTAAATGGTAATTAATTACTATATTTATATAACATAACTATATCTACAGAAATATTGTTTTTGTTATCCAGGTGACCAATTTTTCATGCTTTTTACATAGAGAATAAACTGAAATTAAAAGGGACCTAATTTAGGAATACTAGATTCTATTAAAACATACAATTATTATCCCCCTTTCTTCCATTTTTCTCCTGGCGTATATTCAGTCATGGGCCTGCCAGATATACCGCAAGTTCCGATACCAACTCTTCCAGTTAGGTTATCGGGTGACGCAAATATACTTTTTGATTTCACTCCAGCTTTTTTGGCAGCTTTAGAATGAAAAGACAGCCATTTGTTCTTCTCACTTTCTCTTTCTTCTTCAATCTGTTTAAATCTTTGTTGTTTCTTTTGTTTTTTCTTCTTTTGATACTCTCTATTGTAACCTTTTCCATGTCTGAAAAAATAAGGTATCATAAGGAAATATATAAAAACATTTAAATATTTATTAGAAATAAAAAAAATAGTATAAAATTAAAAATCCAGTGATAGTATTCATGAAGCTGAACAACTTTGTTCAGAGAATACATATTATATTGGTTGCAAACCTTCATTTAGGTGTAATATAGATAAGGCAGAGTTTGTGTATGTGAGCGATCAGTGCTTTTAAAGAATTTTGTGTTTCATATAATGGATTAATTGGTTTGTGTTTCGACTTTTAACATTTTATAGAATAATGGTTTAGTTTCAAGTTTTAATATTTTGAATTATTATTCAAAATATTAAAACATACAATACATACAAAAAATGAAATTTGCTACTTACTTGCTTTCATCGCCACTTAATGGCCTTTTCAAGGATGACCCCAAAGGTTTCACATCAAGAAGTGAAACCACTTCAAGAGTTGTGTATCCATCAAATTTAACTTTCAAGTTGTCACTATCAACTTCTTCTATTAAGGCTTCATAGTACCTAGAATATAATAAAAAATATGAAAACATTATAATAAAAACTAAAGAAAAAAATAATATAAAAATATTATAATGAAAATTAGTAAACTATGAAGCTTAAGTACACTGTCATCTTACTGATATAATAAAATTGTAATTAAACGATGTCTGTAAATGGGAGATGTTTAAGAAAAATGTATATCAGGGGCCTTAATAAGAGCATTAGAAGCTAAAACAAATATTTTTTAGAAATGTTGTGTCTGTCTGTATGTTTGTACTGGCATCACAAAAATTACCACACCAAATTGGATGTGGATTTGACAGTTATATTCTTGAAGGTCTAATTTAAAATCTGGTGTACATTCTTTCTTGATACATTATCTAGAAGAGGTTTATTTTATTGGTTTTCCTACTTTTAAAATACAAACAAATGAAGTACCAGGCAAAAAACTAGTACTAATATTAAAACTGTGAAAATCTCATCAGATTTGTAAAAAAATTGTCAAATATATTCTTTAGTATTATTTATCCAATATAGTTAAATGTATAGCCTATGTTACCACCACCATCATTAAAATTTGTATATGCGTATTTTAAGAAGACCTGGAATAAGATAATTAATAGCCTGGATATTATTGGATATAAATATTACTATACCTAAGAAGATTTAAATATAAAATCTCCATAATTACTTTTAATGATTAAGAAATCATATATATTATGTGACCTGTTTATTTATTTAAAGTTGGTTAACAATTAAAACATGCTAGAAAACATGGGCTTAACACTAATGGCATTTTGTATTATTATGAGAGATTGATAGAGAAAGTATAAATTTAATGTTGGATTGGGTATATAATAGATAAATAGGTATGAATAATGATCATGAAACTATTATTAAAATATTAAAGTTATATTCCGATACTGTTCGATATCAGAAAAATATTTCCAAATCTGGTAGGGTTGAAATCTATACCTTATATGACATACTGGGCTAATAGTTTTACCAGTTGACTTATGGCTCCACTAGATGCCTGCCTCGAAATAAAAATACACTACTTTTAATACAATACCAACACTCACCATGTTCGTCAGATCGCAAAATGGCCCCAAATAATACCTCGATGAAATATTCATTAAGTGCAAAAAGTAACAAGCGAAGACTGCTGCTTGTAGGGACTGGTCTGTTCAAAACTACTAAAATTGAGATTTCTTTTACATTTCTAGACCAACCAATAATGATCATTTATATTTTTACGAATTTGAAATCCACAATGAAACTATTTGAAAAGAACAAGGTAAACTGATTTTTCTCCATAGAAAATAACATTATAAACCTAGCAATAAAAATAAAAATCTAATAAATATTTCTTGCAGAAATTTCCATTTGAATAAAGATAAAAAAAATATTGTTCAATAACAGCAATTCTTCCTTTCCCTCACTATAAATGAGATTTGTTGAGATTTTACCAGTTCCTCCTATCCTATACATATATAGTGATACAATTAATGATTACTCAAAACATATACCTAGTCTTCTTGCCAGACTAGTATCACATAATCTGTCAATAATACACATGTAATACACATAGGAATGTCCAACATTTAAATAATTCTGAACTGCAAGATAATGAAAATATATGTATTGATATGTTTGTTTGCCGCAAGTCTATAGGTGCTGTTGGAAAGTAATATTACCCGCAACATTATAGATGTCATACTACTGTGATAAAAAAGTAAGGTGAATTTGTTTATAAAATGTAAATTCTTTATTTATTCTTCCAAATTAATTTCATCCCCTTCAAAATAATCCCCGTCTGATAAAACACACTTTTGCCAAAGCTTTTTTTCAGTCCTCAAAACAGTCAGAATAGTATTTTTTTTCAAACATTCTTGGAAATGTGAGCATTATTTTGACAATCTTCTTCGAGATAAATTAAAATTGCCGTACTGGCCAGATACACGCGGGCAGCAGCCGGCAAAATTTGTAAGAAAATCCATATCTGCTGTGTTTTGCAGCTAGATAAATTACTATGTACACTCATATCTGTCCTATAATTTAAAAATGGAACCTTTTACTTCGAAATATGCTTATCAAGGAGGTAACTAATAAAAGGTTTTATTTAAATTTGGAACTGGCTTGCAAATAAAAAGCTATTTATTGAAAAAAAAAAAAAACAAAGGAACATTATGGCGCTTGAAAAATTATTATTGTTCGTTATTCGTCATTGAACTTAAAAAGTAAAATTGTATTTTTGATTTCCGCTCATTGTTTGAGAAAAGTACTATACAAGTCTTGGCCACAACTAGGCATTGATGGACTCACGTATGTGTGCCTCAGCTACGTCACGGCCCACATTTGCACGTTCGTCCATCAATACCTCAGTTGCTGGCCGCTGCAGTAATCTACTATTCCCATATAGCCTCAAGACTGTCTTCGATTCGGTTTTTATCTCCTCAATTGTGTCTAAATAGCATCGCCACATTGGCCTTTTGAGTTTGCTGAATCGCCAGAAGTCACACGGAGCCAAATCAGACGAAAATGGTGGTTGCAGAAGTATATGAGTCCAGTTTTTGGCAAAAAAAAGTCGCAAAGAACCAATGCAGTATGACATGATGCATTATCATGATAAAACAACCAAGGGTTGTTTGCAAGAATAGCTTGACACAAACATGCATAACAATTAAATAATATTCTTTGTTTGGTCCAGCTGAAGGAATTCATAGTGCACCACACCAATCAAAGAAAACTATCAATATGACCTTGATTTTTAATCACACACATCAACGCAATGCTTTTTTCCAAAAAAAAAAAATTAGTCATTGTAGCACTAATAGAGACTTGACGCATTTGAGAAACTAAACATTCTTCAAAATGGTTTGGGCTGAGCCAAATGGTATTCCAACACTATCAGCGAGATCTCTAACTGTCAATCAACGATTTTCAAGCATCAAATTTTAATCAAATCTTTGATTTTTTGGACATGGCCCTTGTTGGTAGAGGTTGATGGTCTTCCAGAGTGTGGTTCGTCTTCAATGTTTTCAGTCAGCTTTAAAACTCATTGCACCACTTACAAACGATTTCTTATGCCATAGATCACCAAAGGTCTTCCGCAAACATAATTTGATGCAAGTTTTATGCTCAACAAAATCAACCATTGTAAAAATAAAAAAATTTAACTTTTGGTTGTTTACTAAAACATGTATAACTTAGAGATAATTAAACCTTTTGACAAACAAACACTTGGCTGTTATAGACAGTCCTATTAACATCTCTACTAGTCTCTCTGATGCTTGGAAGTTTTTTAAATGACAATTTCAGCTTACTTTTTGATCACAGTAGCATATAGCCTAAGATGAATTGGCTCTTGTATAGTAAAAATAGTTTAAAACAATGGTGTATGCTTATATTAGAAATACAAAAATCTACTGATTATAAAGATCGATTCTAGAATTATACCATTATATCACATTACCTACATAACAGTTTTGATTTCTTATCATAGATATAAGTAAATAGACTGATTATTATTAGAATTTCAAATGCCACAATATACTTAAATCACTAACATTACTGACCAAATTCTGTATCACCCGTAAGAACATAATATATATGATTATTATATTTCTAACACTGAAATATATATTTCTATTTAATGCATAATATCTAAGAAGCTCTATAATTATCAACGATTAACTGATACCATGTTTTACATTATAACGCATTTTGCATTTTTTATATAAAGTACTTGTAAGAAACTTACATGCCATCTGCTCTCCACTTAGCCAGACATTTTTCCCCCACTCGCCAGTTTGAATAGGACTTCTCTGCAGTTTCCCCCTCATGTGCAGCCAACAGGGACGCTGTAACGACATCATCATTACTAGAACCATGAATATTAGGCACTTTGGAATCACCGTCTTGAGTTTTAATTAGATCTTGAGTCAACTCAATTACTTCTTCTAAATCCGCTTTTAACTTCAGCAATTCCTCGTTTTGAGCATCTGTGAGTAAGGCAGCTTCCACCTGAAAAAAATACAACGTTGAAAAAGCATAATGTAGAATTGGCGATATCAACTATCCATCCTAGAAAGAAGTTTACTACAGTACCTGTTGCAGCTGAAGTTTATAATTTCGTAAGTCTTCAGCCATAGCTGAAAGTATTATTTAATATCTTTTTAAACTGAATTTCACTTTACAAACAATAAAAAGTAAGACGGATAGAAATTCTCAAAAAAGAAGCAATTTAAGAATTCACAATACAATGACAATGAGACTGACACACAGATTAAAAAGACTATGTCTACAGCACAGACTAGAGAGACTATTATTTGACAGATTGCTTAGAGACACTATATATGTCAGAATGTGAATCGATTTTGAGATGCTATTTCTCTAAGTACATCTCTAAAATTAAAACTTTAATTTGATATAACAGCGAAATTAAAAGGAACGATATGTACTCATTTTCTTATACATTTAAATCACAATTGTTATAATGTTAGTTTACAACAGTTCATTAAATAATTTTCCGAAATTATCAAATTAAGATATTCAGTTAAGAGATATTTAATGAAATAGTGCCTCAGTACAGCTCTAGTGTCAAATTTTCTGGCAAAGAATTTGTTGCTGTGCCAGTCAGTAGTGGTGCGCGTAATCGAATAATATAGTTATTCAAATCTTTAGTAATTACTCATTTTATAATTTGACAGCTTAATTAGTAATATACTAATTTTAGTATTCGAATGACTTTATTAATTAGTAATTATTAATCTAAACCACTAATAATGAAAACAAACCCTATCATTCGCTACATTTCCAATGGTCGTAATGAATAAGGACTGATGACAAAATAAAAATCAGTTAAATAATAATTATATAATATACATAAATATATGGTATTTACTAAATATGCTAAAATGTTAATTATCCAACACGCTTGATCATTAACATAAAAAAAAAAAACATTCTAAGCGATCGGGTCGACTCAGCTACGTTTATACTTACACGTACGTGTAAAACTTTTAATGAATGATTTTACCGATTATTAAAAACGTATACTGATTCAAATTAGTAATCAGACGATATTAGTAGTCAGATTAAATTAATGGTCGAATGAAATTTGTAGTTGGATGACATTAATAGTTGAATGAATAAAATTAATAGTCAAACAATTTTAAAATTAATCAAATAATTCAAATGATTTGCTCAGTCGAATAAGTAGTAGTCGAATTGGTAAAGTCACGCATCGTTATCAGCAGCAATAATACATATTATAGATATAGTATAAGAGAAAATAGGTTTCGACATTTTTTTCATATGAGAGAAAAGGTTGCAGTTTGAATTATTTATGAAGACAAAGCATCGAGTGTCGAAAACGTGTCAATATACTCAGTTTTTCTTTTCTTTTCTTAATGGTAATTGTGTTTTTTTTTTGTGAGAAATTGTTGCAGCGTGTGTAACGTAACTTGAATATTAATAATTATAAAAAGAGAAGAAAAAAATTCTATTCTGTTATAATTTTTTTTATTGATACTCTATTATACATTCATTCAATAATTAAAAAACATTGTATGTCAGACGTGTACTAAACACACAACACATAAAAAAAAAAACTATGCGTTTTGAAGGGAAACCAAAGATAAAAAAAAATACTATCAATACATATAATAAAATCGTAACTGGTCACTGTCTGTATATGGATGATATATAGGAAAAACTATTATGGGAGGGTTGTATGAAACCCAAAACAATATTTTTTAAAATTTTTATCTGTTCGTCTGTACGTTTGTGCACGCTAATCTTTTACGGCTTAATCGATTTGAATGCGGTTTTTGTTAATGCGTTGTGATTGCTCTACTAAACACGTGTTTATTCTATTTCAATCGGTTCATAAATAAAAAAATAATATTAATCTAAAGAATCACATATAAAATGCTATAAAATAACCGATCAGTTAAATTGGCCGTAACTTTTTTTTATTATATGCATGGATTTTCAAAAATTCTGTCTACTCGTGCGAAGCCGGACCAGTCACTAGTTATTAATAAATATAAAATTATCCTAACATGTTGTCATATATAAAAGATTTGTACTCTTCAGCAGAAGCGTAGCGTGCCATGGCGGGGCCCCATCTCAAAAATTGGTTATAGGCCCGTAGGAAGAGTAAAGATTTCACACAAAAGAAAAAAAAAATGCATAAAATTAAAAAAAATATTTATTCATCATAATTATCTATTTCTCACTTTTTCCAAAATTGGTATAAACAATCCAAATTAAATATACACTCCCCTTGCCTTTTTTTCGGCAAATGAAATTATTAAATCATTTATAACTGATGATGACTTTTTGATCATTGAATTTTTTTAGCAATAATTGAATGAGTTCCTTAATGGAATGAATTATTTGAATTTCAGATTTTAAGCATGTTTTTAGAGCCTTTAATTGGTCATAAAGATTAACTGAGATGTCTTTAGCTGACAGTTTTTCCGGAAGCGTTTAATATCTCTTCGTTTGAAGAAGACAGGAGTTTCTCCGGTTGTAATATTTTGAACATACTACTGAGGTCGCAAAGGTTCTGAAATCTTTGTTTAGTTTGAGAAATTAATATATCTAAACAGCAAATCTGAAATTCTCTCATCTTGTGATAACTTATCAAAAAAACGCTTCGTTATCTTTCACCTTTTGTTTTTAGAAACAGTTGTTACTCTCCACTATTTTGCTAAATTTTTGGACTCATTTGATAAACTATTGAATGAATTTTGATTTTTTAATTCGCACAGTCTATTCAAAAGATTACTTAATAAAATATTAGTTTTTTGTAAGTCATTATTTGCATGCTTTAGAAACAGGATCAATGATTTCAAATAGTGAAGAAAAAATGTGATAAGCACTAAGACACCATAACTCTTTAAAATGTTAATTATATTTTACATTTTTCACGTTCATCTTTTTTTTTTTCGAAATTAAATTTAGTTGGTACAAGGTTTCATGATTAATAAATAATTTTCCGCTAATTAAGGGTTATGTTCGTTGAAGACTACCGGGTAGGACATTTTTTAGATGAATCGTCACTTAACATTGCCCAGTGTTGTATACTATTGCCAAAAAAGTATATATTTTATCTAAATTATCGAATAAAGTCGATACTTCACGAACATGTTTCGCAGCATCGTTTAAAACTAAATTTAATGTGTTCGCAGCACAATGAACATAATCGGCATTCGGAGCATGCTTTTTTATTAAGGTTTGTAATCCTCCATAATCACCTGATATAACATTTGCTCCATCGTAACCCTGTCCTCTACATTTAGTCAAATCAATTCCATATTGTTTAATCGTATTTAAAATTTCAGTTTTAAGACCTTCAGCTCTGCAATCGGATAATGCTATAAACCCCAAAAAGGACTTGCAAATTTTTAATTCTTTAGGCACATTATCATCATTTTCTGTATCCGAGATGTATCGAAAAACTACAGAAACTTTGTAAATTTTTTTATAAGTCTTGTGTTGTATCTAGAATTATTGTCGAAAAAAAGCGCGGGAAACGTTTAAAAAAGCGGGAGTGTTTTTTGATCTTCTTTAAATTAATTTTATTTTTAATTATATAAGGATTAGTTTTATTTATATATTGTGTATTAGATTGTATATATAATTGTATATTTTGTAGTAATAGTGTTTGTTGCTGTAAATATTGGTAAGTAAATTACCTATATTAATTAGACATTATGGATCCACCTATAGACCCTGGGGGGACAACCCCCCAGGTGTCTGCAAATATAACTATCCCATTTAATAATAGTTTTGATATATTGGGTGAATCTAGTATGGACACAGATGGTTCTAGCGTTGCAAGTTCTAAACGTAAGCGAGTACGTGGCGAACGTCGCATTTGCAAACATTGCAATAAAAAACGAAGGAGGCACACCAAAGGTCTCGAATCTAAAATTAAAGATAGTGATTGTCAATGTATTGAGGATGAGAATCAAACTCTAGTATCAATACCAGTTGTAAATAATACCGAGTCTGTTAAACCTGCTTCTCCACCCAGTACTTTAAGCAGAACTTTGTACAATGCCGAGGATGTAGCTCCTTATGTCGTTCATGTACAAAAAAATGAAACACATCCTAATGATAACACTACATTACATCCTATTGCATTTGGTCGCTTTTTACACACTAATAAGATAAATAATATAGTGAATGGTAGCCTCAAAAGAATAGGAAGAAACCGTTTATCGCTTTCTTTCTCAAATTTTGAAAATGCAAATGCATTTTTAAATAATAGTCACTTAGAAACACATAATTTTAAGGCATTTATACCTTCTTTCCATGTAACCCGTATGGGAATTGTGAGGGGTATTCCTAAAGATTGGACAGAAGAGGAAGTAATCCAAAATATATCAGTACCTATAGGTTGTGGGAGAATTCTAAAAACCAGAAGAATTAAGAAAAAGACCATTAATGAAGGACAACCAAGTTTTATTAATACTGAAACCATTGTTATTACTTTTGATGGACAAATATTACCAAAAAGAGTATTTATGTTTTACACATCATTAACTGTAGATTTGTACATTTACCCCACTATCCAATGCTATAACTGCTGTAGGTTCGGACATGTCAAGATGCAGTGTCGTTCAAATCCTCGGTGTTATAAATGCAGGCAAAATCATACAGGTGATAAATGTGAAGTAGATGAGGAAAATGTTTCTTGTATCTTGTGTAATGGTTCTTGTTGAAGTATAGTTTATTGTGAACTTTATATAGCAACCCTAACTTTGTTTATGGTATTATAAAAAAAAAAAAAAAAAAAAACTTCTTGTGTGTCAATGACAGAACTGAAAAAGGTTGTTTTTTATTTCTCTTCTCCATCGTTAATAATCCATTTAGTTGACTTGTAATAACATATTTATTTGACGTGTAATAACAATAATAATCATAACAGGTTATGGCCCAGCCTGATTTTCCATTTATATGGTATTGTAATTATTCGTACAAAACTAGAACAATTTCCACAAGTCACAGCCGCCATTTTTTTTTTCCGGTTGAAAGTTTTTTGTTCAGAACTTCTTGAGGTACTTGTCAATAATGTCTGTGCGATTAGATAAAATCACAGTGGACAAGTTGGAGGGTGAAGGTAATTGGATTTCATGGAAATTCGATATCAACTTACAAATAACCCTACATGGAGTTGAGGACCATGTGACCGGTGTAGCGCAACAACCAAAAGATGGAGAAGAACCAAAGTCTTTCAAATTATACCATGAAAAGGAATCAATTGCAAGGTATTTAATAGGTTCAA